GTCCCAAAAGTTCAAGTGTTTAATTTGGGGTTGTTTCTGTTGATACCCAGCCAATCTGATGTTACTCCTGTCACCTAATTCAATGGTGTAAGTTATTAAACTTGAATAATTAAAATATTAAACTAGAAATAAAACATGTATTTATAGCCACAAGTAAGAAAGACAAATGCCCAGTAAAGAACTGCTTTTGGTCTGGGGTTGTGGCTCAGCAGTAGAATGCTTGCCTCTCATGTATGAGACCCTGGGTTTGATCCTCAAGCACCACATAAAAATAAATAAACAAAATAAAGATATTGTGTCCATGTATAACTAAAAAAATATTAAAAAAAAGAACTGCTTTCATCTTTAGCTGTGCTGTCAACTTTGGAAAAAGTATCCTAGTTTACCGTGTTGAGTTGGCATTGTACAGAAATTAACAGCCATATTGGTTTAGAAACATTAAACTTAATTTTTTTCCATTTGTACAGGGGTAATGCACTGTATTAAATATGTAAGGTCTTATCTACATGGGTTTGATTATAGAAACTAATAAAGTATTCTCTAAGAAAAAAAAACTGCTTTCATATTTTAAAAGATGGAGGGTAAGAAAGACACTAAGTTAGGAAACATTCAGCAGGAGTCAGGAAAAAAGAACTTGTCTTAACTCATCTATGAATTCATGACAAATCATAGAGCTAAACATGAGAAAAGGCATCCTATGAAAGAAGCACAGAGGTTTCAAATGGTGGCTCTAAAGCAATACACAGGTTTGTGTTATCCATACAATAAAGTTTGATTTTATTGCAATAATTAAAAAATGAGACTTCACATAAAAATCTATCTTCCCCTTTAAGAAAATCAGACCTCTAGCAACATGGAGGCTCACATGACAACAATGAGCTTAAACTGAGTAGAAGCTATCCCACTTTGATGAAATGTGGGCTGAACAGTTGGCCAGTTTGCACCACTCCTTACTGTGACTCCCAGCCTAATTCATTCATTTTTTTTTTTCCGTCTGCCTTGCTACTAGTGGCATTAAGTTATGGCCATTTATACAGTGAAAAATGGTCTCTACTGAGAGCTCAAAAATCTGGGTTCTAGTCCTGACTCAGCTACAAAATTGTATATGTGGTTACTTATGTTACCTAATCTTTATGAGTCTCAGTTTTCTCATGCTGAAAGGAAGAGTTTGTACAAAATGCTCTCTAGTGGTTCTATGATTTGAAATCATCTATAATGGGGGCAATGAAAATGAAGACAACACAAAGTAGTTTCAACATATTTCATACTTTATTCTGAGTCAAATTTTTTGAAATTTCAATTTAATTTTGAGGTTAATGAATCCCTAGCAAACCTAGAATAGTCTAAAAAGAAGCACAGGTCCTCTGGAATAATATCTGGATCCATTTGTGTGGCCTGACTAATCTCTTTGTAATTAAAAGCCAGAAGACTATCTCAGATAGATAGGATCATTTATCTACTTTGCTTTTCTCATCCATTTTCATTCCTATTATGGGAATTCTCAAGATTCCTCTCTGGAATGGTTACCTAGCCATTGACTAAATGAAGAGTTTCAGAGCACAGAATCTCAGGCTACAGGCATTCCTAATCTATACATGAATGAGGTGACACTTTGTAATCCCAGCTACTTGGGAGGCTTAAGCAGGAAAATCATAGTTTCTAGACTAGCTGGAAGGAAATAAAGCAAGACCCCATCTCCAAATACATACATACACATCAATATAAGGAAAAGGTAGACTTTGGAATCTAAAGGCAGCAAAAATGATACTGTCTAGACTAGTCAAACACACATTTCAGTCTTGCAAATCATACCAAACTGTGGCAGCTGCTGTTTAGCCCAGAGTGCGAAAAGTCAAGAGTCTTTAAATCACCTGTGAGAGACATTTTCCAGCACTGGGATATATTTGGTCTCCTTTGCGGCACTTAAAAATTATAAACTCAATTGATAGCTTCACTGTAAACCCATTATTAATTCATCCTCCCAAAAGTCCCTGAAAGTTGAACAGGAAATATGATACTTATCTGCATTTAGAATTAGAGGAGCCTTAGGCCCAGAAAGCCAAATACCACACGATGACCTATAGCTAAGTAATTAATAGAAAAGCCAAGTTTAAATCTCTGTATTTCCTATTCTCTTAGATGCCTCTAATAATCTATATGGGGGATAAGAAGAGACTTAGTCTGGTCCAAAGTCAGAGTCAATGACTGCATTCTCCATCATCCAAGAAAAACCACTACCCCAACCAAAGAACAGTGCAGCCTATCAGAAAGAATATGATTCCCATAAGCTTTCCCCTTAGAACAAAAGTCATAAATAATGAACTAGTCAAATCTGAATAGAGAAAACTAAAAGTCCTTCAATGTTTTTTTTTTTCATTAAATATAAATGCAAGGCAAAACTAACTATAATTTCAATGTACATACCCAGGACCATCACAAAATACCTTGCCTGGCTCTGCCTCTGCAACAGCCCTAATGCTTTCTGAGCAAAATCGGTAAATATAATCTAGATCAGAGGTTTTTAACCAGGGGCAACATTCCCTTCAAGGGACATTTGGTAATACCCAGAAACCTTTTTGGTTGTGTGGAGGACAACAAAGGATAATATTATTGACATCTAGTAAGGAGAGGCCAGGAATGCTATCACCCATCCTACAATGCACAGAACAACCCCACACCACAAAGATTTATTCAGCTGAAACATCAACAGGGCTAAGGTTCAGAAACAATGGTCTAGATGTTGTCTACATTTTGGCCAGAGGAATTTGATCTGGGTCTTTTAAGGACTCCACAAGGACAGGCTTTGGCTGCTAATATACAGTCTGAAGAAAAACACAATATCCATATTTTTCAACTCTTGTCTTTCTTCTCAGCCAGTGTTCATGGCAATAAAGTCTTAAAAACTATTATTTTCTGCATGCTTTTTATTATTTAATGAAATAAGAATCACATGCATAAGTTGACAGAAGATAGAAGAATCAACAAAAGCAAAGAAGACTGAAGGAATAAACAAAGGTAGTGGTTGCAGGACTAGGTTGCCATTTCCACAGCCATATTAAGCTAAATCAACTATTTTTCATAGCAGACAATTCTCTGTTCTATTGAGAATCTGATCACCTCTTCTCTAGAAACTGATTCTTCCTACCTAAGAAACAAATTGCCTACAGTACCACATAAGCAAATAAAAACTAAGTCATATAGGTACTATGGCTTCCTCCAAAGATAACATTTATATAACTGAGGCCATCTAGTGGTTTCCAGTGTGGACTGAAGCTAAGTAGGCCATAGGACTGGAGTACAAATTCTGAATTTGGCTGGGTGTGGTAGCACATACCCTTAATCCCAGCTATTTGGGAGGTTAATTAAGGAGGAATGGAAATTCAAGGTCATTTTAGCAACTTAGTAAGACCCTGTTTCAAGCATGAAAAATTAAGCCAGGCACAGTGGTATACACCTGTAATCCTAGCAACGCAGGAAGCTTGACACAGGAGGCTTGTAAATCTGAGGCCACCCTCAGCCACTTAGTGAGACTCTATCTCAAAATGAAAAATAAAAAGGGCTGGGGATGTAGCTCAATGGAAAAATGCCCCTGGGGTTCAATCCCCAGTACCTACAAAAAAATAAACATTTTTAAAAGGTGGGTGGTATTAGGATTTAACTCAGTGGTAGAACACTCATGGGTTAATTCCCCAGTTCAGCAAAATAAATATATTATCTACAAAGGGGGAAGTATCTATCTTGGAAAACTTGAATATTCTTATCTACCTACATGCAACTCAATTCAACAAGTGTTTATTCTACTCCTACTACATATACAAATCATTAAACTACTTAGGGAGTCTCTAGCAACTTCAGCCTAGAGAGAAAAATCCTACCCTTTAAAAAGTAGGGTCTTGAAAAGTTCTCAAAGAATTGTTTCTTTTGCCAGGCACAGTGGCATATGCCTGTGATCCCAGCAACTCAGGAGGCTGAGGCAGGAAGATCACGTTTGAGGCCAGCCTGGGCAACTTAGTGAGATCCTGTCTCAAAACAGAAAATAAAACAGGTAGGGATATAACTCAGTGGTAGAGCACCCCTGGGTTCAACATATAACTGAAAAAAAATTTTTTGTTTAGGCTTCTTATCCAAAAATAACAATAAGAGGTGGGGTATGTTATGTCAAAATGCGGCATTATTGATGAGCCCAAAGATGAAAATACTAAGCACCAGCAAGAAACAAAGGTTTTTTTCTTTTCTTTTTTTTAATCTGAATGTAAAGTAGCAATAAGATTGGTTTTCCTTGAGAAGAAAAAAAAAATTGTTTATTTGATTTGCCTTTACTGACATCAGTTATTCAGGTCAGTACAACTGGTCACTAACACCCATTTCAGAACTTCTATGGCTAAGACAGACAAGCACCAAGAATGCCATGCATGCTTTTAAACTGCCAGCTTTAAAGCAACATCAGTATCTCTATTCCCAGTGACACTGAGAAAAGGCAGGAAACTCACAGCTTGGGCTCTGCAGACCCAGTTGTGATATGGCAATAACAACAAACAGAGTCAGCATCTGGCTGCCTCTTAAACAAACTTGCTCAGCCCATTTCATCCTTCAAAAAGATGCCATCTCAACAAGTCATTCAAGATACATGTCTCCTGTATGATACTTAAGATATTTCATTCATCACTGTGTTTTTTTGATATAAGAAAACTAAAACTGTCCCTTATCATTAGGTTGATTTTCCATGAACTCCTTCCTTTCTTTGGAAATGGCACATGCTTGGAATTTTAAAATCTGTTCAGAAATGTGGTAGAACTGGGTTACTAAGAACTATGTTGTAGCCAGTCTTGGTTTATGCTGTGTCTCATAATACCCACTGGTAGCGTGCATGAAGAAACTCACTAGGAAACCAGAATGTCTCTAGACTCTCACTGCCCTCAACTGTTTCCAGCTGACCAGGTGCTAAAGAAAAAAGAGACCAGGACACAAAGATATGGATGTAGGAGATAGAGGGCACTTACCTGGTCACGATCTCCTGCAAAACAGCAGCTTTTCATGGTGCATGAGTTGAAGTAACCCTGATTGTCAAACTGGAACACTGGCAGGCGGGAGTGGATGTCATAAAGTACAGGGGGCAGGCGACGCCGCAGGGCCAGGAGCTGGGTCCCATTGCTATTGAATCGCACACTCATGGCACTTTGGAGAGACAGGTTGCCACCATAGCGCAGGAGAGAACTAGAAAGCAGAAAGCATAGGGATTCGGCATAAGTCAGGCTAGACAAGAGTCTGCAAAACACACTGAATTTATTTCTTCACATGTGCCCAAAACCTCCTTCAGGCTTACAAATCGAAATTTCAGCAAAAGGATATTTCTATAAATCAGTTAGAAAGTAATAATGAGGATAAGAATTGCTCCTTGGTTGCATTAAAACAAATTACTTAAAATGTCAGGTTCCTTCAATCTTCAAAAGGCAAATTTAAGAAAAGGATAAAACACTTTGAAAAAAGAGAAATATTAAAATCATTAGATATTTTGTTTACCCAAGCTAAGTGCATACTCTAAGAGACACTCATCAAGACCCTGGAAAGGAGTCATGTCCACCTTAATGGCTAAATCATGGATGGTAAAATGACATATTTATCCTTTGTATTAGAGATACAAGAACCATCAGCAAGAACAATAGACATTTTATTCTATTCTGGATATTTTTTCAATAATAATCATAATTAAGCATAACAAGCATTTATTTTTTAATTTTCAGTCTTTTCTCACAATTTTTAATTCCATATGGCATAACCAGGGAGAAATTATTAAAGAAAAAATTTAATTTAGATGCAGAAAAAGTAGTATAACAATTGAAAAAGGAAGATGACTTGTTTCCCTTTATAATTCCCATATTTATATTTAGCTTTGAAATCTACTTTGGTAAATGCACACAATTTCATTTATCTAGCTTCACTAGGGAGTAGTATGTTTTGGTTAACCTAAAATTCCTTCTATAGTTTCATGATGTTCATAACATTTTAAAAAAAGTTATAGTATGATTCTAAATAATTTCTTCTGCTGATTCATAAGATACTTTCAATATTACAGTGAACTAGGATAGCCATGAACTTTAAAAATTACACAGTACTCATTTTATACAGTATTCGTTTTGACATACACATGTCTGTGTATGTCACATGTCCTCCTGGCAGTGATATAGTAACATAGCGTCCAGATGTTATTACTGAGGGATGACTGCCTGCCAACATGCCATAACCAAGTTCTCTTTTGTATTTTATGTTCACTTCTTGGAGCACTGAATTACTGGGTAGGAAAGAGAGGCTAAGTATATATGTCAGATATACTGGAGAAAGGAGGGCCATGTCAGAGCTAATAACCTGCTCTGCCTCACATAGACATTGTCATGAAAAGGAAGCAGTTTTAGAGAAAAAAAGGCTCATAAATTCTACAAATTATTACAGCAATGGAAAGAACATCAAGAATCTAACTAGAGCCTAACAGATTTAAAATTTTTTTGTATGTGTGTGTGGTACTACAGATTGAAATAAAAAGTGCTCTACCACTGGGCTATATCCCCAATCCTTTATATTTTTTTGAGACAGGGGTCTCATTAAGTTGCCAAGGCTGGCCTCAAACTTAAGATCACCCTGCTTCACCCTCTTGAGTAGCTGGGACTATAGAAGTGCACCATCACACCTTGCAGATTTGAAACATTTTAAAGAAGTTTTAGAAGCATTTAACCAGAGAAAACTTAAACTGCTATTTGTTACTGGAAGAAATAACACATTTTCTTTTTGGCAAGAGAGTGATACCACAGATTAAGGGGACAAGAAAGGAGATATTTTATGGGAACTTTAAAACATAGCAAGGTCATAAAAACAACCTGTACTACCACTACACTCAATCCTGTGTCCCCCCCATCCTCACAAATCAGTCTTCTCACCAAAGGAGGAACGCTCTGGTGCTATGGCTCTGTAGAAACAGGGTTGGGTAGAACAGCCTGAAATCCTCTTATGAGTGGAATAAAGGGAAGAAAAAAAGAAGAGACAGAAAAATATCCCTAGAACTCCAGACATCAAGGAATAGCCAGGTACCCCTGTAGTCCCCAAGTAATAATCCCTGCAGAGAAATGCTTTTATAATGATCCTAAACACAGACTACACTCACTCACATACACAGAGAACAAATGACAGGGCTGTTAGAATCCAGGCATTTCCTTTACTGGGTGCCCTGGCTGCCACAGGCATGTGGTGTTATCTAAACACTGAGCTCAAAAACAATAAGAGGCTTTCAATCCAAGATCAGCTTGGGGTGTGCAAATAAACCAGAATTCATAGGACTGGGGGAGGGGAGTAGAAACAAGACTCAACAGAAAGAAACTTGGCCTGCCCCACTAGCCATAGCAGCAGGATTTGCATCAGCCCAAGCACTTTGACAGGAAACTGGGGACTCTAGAATACGCTCTTCCTGTCTGTTAACAGGAACTTTCTCTGCCCATTCTCTGCCTCACTAGTCAGGCCTGTATAGAGGAATCTGCCCCAAACAAGCATGTGGGCCCATCTCATCTTGGTCTAAGCTACTTGACCCACCATTTGCAACACGGCCACACTACAGGGGTATGTTTGTGGACTTCAGGATAGTTACTAACTTCTCTCTTGCCTACACTTCTAGGCAGGGAACCTGATTCACACAATGAAGGTGCATAGGAATCTTGCTCCTAGAATGTTTAGGGGTGCAATCTACAGAACAGCAGTTACCAACATTGAATCTTTCATGTTTGGGTACAAAATTTTGATTCCTTCCAAAGGAATGAATGACACCTGAAATACAGAAAGTGATTAACTATAACTTCTCAGAAGGGCCTCTGAGCTGGTTATTCCTGGTGAAAATAAGGATGCTTTAGTTCACTAGGGAGAAAAGGCTTAAAAGTAGTTTGTCCTCATAGTTAGGATATATAATGTCAAAGAGTCCACAGTTCGTGGTTTCAAGAGTAATAGGCATAAGAAATCATCTAGAATTTTTTTTAAATATAGATACTTGGCATCCACCCCCAGATATTCTAATTCAGTCTGGGAAGTGGGCCCAGGTATTTCAATTTAACAAGGAACCCTGGTTCATTCTGATGCAGGTGACTCTCTAATGACACTTTGAGAAATGTGATCCCATTTTGGAATGGGAGTAAGGAGGCAAAATGAAAAGACAGAGAAATGATAGATTACCAGAATCTCAATGAAAAGTTAGCCACAATCACACAATATGGCGATTTTTACAGCCAAGTCTATTAGTAATGACTCCAATTCCTGTTAAGGTCAGAGTTACTCTCTACTAACAACACCCCCCCACACACACTCACACACCACCATTTTTTTCTGTCCTCAACATATTCCCTGTTGGAGAAGAAATTTCTCATTTCCTCTGGGAGAACCAAAGGTGTTTCTATGTAACAAGAATGCCTCAATCTTGATTTGCTTTCTGGATGCTGATCCTGATGAGAGAGATGCTTCTATCTCCACTCCTCTAGAGAAATCATAAACCCCGATGATATGAGCAGTATCTTGAAAGAACTAGCCAAGCAAGTTTAAATGACTTCAAATAAAAACATTCCTATAGGAAAAATAAAATTCCCAACCTATCTTTCAACCAACTATTTGCTGTAAAATGCAACAGGAATGCAGTAGGAGGTGATCCAAAGGTCAGCATGCAAAAGACCTGAGGGAAAAAAGCAAGAGTACCCCTGAATATCAGGAAAAAGTCCTCACTGCATTTAGTTTATTGTTGCTTATTGAAGTTACAAAAACAATAACAAAAACTCAACTGGACTTCTTGAGAGAGAAAGAGAGAGAGAGAGAGAGAGAGAGAGAGAGAGAGAGAGAGAGAGAGAGAGAGAGAGATTGATTTTTTAATATTTATTTTTTAGTTTTTGGTGGACACAACATCTTTGTTTGTATGTGGTGCTGAGGATTGAAACCGGGCCGCACGCATGCCAGGCAAACGCGCTACAGCTTGAGCCACATCCCTAGCCCCTCAATTGGACTTCTTAATTGTTCTAACAGTGTAAAAGTACTTAACCAAGGTTAAAGCCTTGGAATAGAAGAAAGCAGGCTGAGGCTGTTTCCAGGAAAAGAGAGTGTTATATCTAGCACAATAAAGGAAACTGAAAACCTTCCAAGCCTATAAACCTAGATTACCATAAAACCATGGTTAAGTAGTTTATCTGATGCTGCCTGATAGTGTCTACAAGATTTTCCAAAACCCACTGGCATGAATTTCCCCATATTTTCTATGTGAAAGTTCTATAAGACTTGTGCAACATACGGAATCAAGGCAGTACTCCAACTCAGACATCAGAACTGGTTCATACTACATGCAAAGAAACATAAGTGAGGTCTTCCAGGTTGGGGGAAAGATAAAAACTTTCATCAGTTTCTACATCAGGACAGGATGACCTATATAAGGGACATGGGATATTCTGTACTTCCTATAACACAACTCTTAGAATACAACAAATCCTAGAAGATACTAGAACTAGGTAAAAGTGAGCAAATTCAGGGAGTCATAGTCCACCACTCATCCAATTCAAGTATGCTTAGGGTCCCAATAATCCTTTAGTCATTTCCTTTATATAAGCTGGAAGGGGGCTAAAGAACCTGGGTATGCATGTGGGTTCTCTCGGCTTTTTGTTTGTTTAGTTGTTGTTGTTTTTGTTTTTGAGATGGGGTCTCTCTATGTTGCTCAGGCTAGACTTGAATTTCTAGGCTCAAGCAATCCTCTTGTCTCAGCCTCCCAAGTAACTGGGAGTACAGGCTTATGCCACCATGCCTAACTTTTTGCTCTTTTTCTAAAACAGTACAATCCTCAGTCTCAAGACTGAAATGTCTTTAAAGGAATTTAAACTGTTGGGCAACTAGTCCAAGAAAAACTCATGGTATTCTGTGACTAAACAAATTTATTGTTCCCTGAATATGATTCACCACTAAGCTTCTCTGGCTTAAAATATATTTATGAGTTCGGTATACTTGTTGAGTATCCAGAAATTTAAGTTTTACAGAGTTTGGCAGAAGGGTTTGACTCAATTCCTGTTTAGGAGGTCTTTGAATAATTAAATGGCATATATGGCCCATCCATTAAGCAAACATGAATGGCAGGCAACGTGGTATTTCTAATCTTCATCTTCCAGAACCAATCATGCTCAGAGCTAATGCATTCTAGAGGCCAGGTTATTGCTTCT